CAATAGAATGATAGATTTCTTTTTTGTGAGTGTAAAATACTTAAATACATCATTTGGATAAATATAATTATTTATTACCTGAGTGAACAGTGTTCATTGCACATTTTGGCGTAAGAAGGCTTATTAGAAACATCACAATGATTTTCGTTGACCACTTGCCTGTCAAATATTCTTTTGCAGACAGGTTGTTGGAACGTTTCACCTATAATCTCAAGAACAAAACAAATATCACTCAATCCAATTGCACATAGTTCAGTCAGTTATATCCAGTGGTGAGTTGACAACGTTTTGAGAGGAAAAAAAAAGGAAAAAACTGTTTTTTTCTCTTCAGATAGTGTGTACTAAAGAGGGTCTTAGGAATAATGTCTGAATCAAAATTTGAAAAATTTCATTACAATGTTTAAAAAACGACGCGATGGCTTTCTTTGATAAAAGGCTTAATGCTCTCTTATTTCTGAAATAAAGTGTAACTGTGTAATGATTATTTTTAAAACGATTTATATCATTTAAAAGAAATTTACGAGAAATGTTTTTATATCTTAGTTGGCTGAATCCTGCAAACATGGATTACACCTAGAAAGATGTTGATATTAGCTCCATATAAAGAAACACGTGTCCCATCTAATAAATCTTCAAGATCAAGGGCAATTTCCGATAAAGCATTGTTATAGAACACACATATAATAACATTATATGGTATTATCACACTGTTATAAAAAACACAGAAGCATTGCGCAACATTATAACTTACCCTCTGTAACACACCATCTGAAATTATCTGGCATGTAATAATTTTGTTATACTAAAGTCCTCATTTTCTTTGTTGTTGTGATGTAGGTGTGGAATATCAAAAATATGTTGACATAGGATGTTTAGGAGTGTTGAGGGTCAGTTGTTACCTGACATCATGTCAATATATTACCAGCAAATCAAGATCATCAAAATGCTTTCTCTTGTTTGCATACATTTATATTTAAACGAAACATTTTCGATTTAAACATTATGCAAATGTATGCAAGACCCATAAGGAAAACAACGTTTCTAATTTAATATAATTGTGTGCTACAACTTTTATATTGACATTATACTTTAGACTAATAGTTTCAGCTTTTGATTGACTTTGATTTGACCAATATATCATGGCATCATATCAGGTAACAAATGATCCCTAATGTGCCTAAACATTCAATGTCAGCAGATTTTCGATGTTCCTCACCTATTTCATAAGAATAGAGAAAAGCTAGGACTTTTGACTTAACATATATTATATATAACAAAGTGACATTTTTGGTGATTTCTCTCTAACAACAATGTTCTGTAACTCCAAGTAACATACCATATAGTGTTATTTAACATTAAACACAATCTGAAATTCTGTTACATATAAGTTTCGTATGTAATCCAAAGCAACATTTCAGGTTATTTACCACTAAGATATAGTCATATAGTAACACCACACGTTTTTTTTTATTAGCGAGTTTTTACATAAGAGAAAATTACACCAAATGTAATATCTAGTTATTAGTGTTATATAGCACCTAACACCATTAAAAGATGTTTTGCATTAACACACTGCGTTATAATACATAGAAATACTGTTGGTAATTTTCAGTAACTTAAGATTCTAAAGGAGAAAAATATCTTAATTAATGTTTTACCATTACACTCTTGTATAACATAAAGATAAATTACAAATAATTTCCTACGAAGACGGTGTCATATAACACTAACATGTTACATAATACAAAGCAAAATATCATATCATGCATAATTTTTTACTTTAAATGATAAAATAATACAGTTATTTAAAACTTGATAAGGACTTAAAAGAAAATACTTTTTTCTCACCTTCACACAAGAGAGAACATTCTGACCACTTTTCCTCTAACTCCCAACGATATTTATTTTCATCTCGGAGAGAAACAGTGTACTCAAACTGAATGTTGGGCGGACGAAGATTACCAACAGTAAGAACCTTTAACCAAATATAAAACGTATTGTTTACAGTTCGTTAAAGTAGTTATTCCCAAAATTTTAAAACTGGGAGTCGCCTGATATAGCAACGTTGACCTAGTACTTTAAAGTGTTAAAAAGCTAATGCATTATCTTTGAAAATGCATTTAATGGTTAATCTTGATTAATTTTCAACCATAGAGCTATGTACAACTGAAAGAATGATCAGTAACTTTAACTTTTTCGTAATGACCTTAACCTTTATACTTGGATTAGAAGTTACCAGGTCTACCACTAAACTATAAACCTTGATATGAAGATGTGTTAGAAAACATAGATATATAGAATAACACAAATGAAAAGGAGTTTGTGCTCCATCAGGCTGTAATAAAAACTGTCAAATACTATGTAGCATATTAATTAATATCACGACTCATTAACTTCCATGAATAAGTTTGCAGACTGAACATTTTGTAATAAACAATACGTTTTACGTATTCGTGTAAGATTTAAATATAGAATATTCGTTTTTGTGTGATATATCTCTGTTTTGTAAACTTATGGTGTCTCCAAATTATTTACGTGATTTGAAAACACCATCTAACCTTGTTTAACAACAAGATTAGCTCGTTGAAACTAATCATAACACTTGAAGAAAAGTAGCATAAAGTATATATATAATTCGCATAAAAAATACCACCTGATTATCCAAGAGCTTTCGAACGATAAAACCAACAAATATATCTCTATTTCTCTGCCAAATCAGAAGAGAAAAATTAACATATTACAATTCTCTGCCAAGTCAGAAGGCTCTAATAATTAAGAGTGGAATTCAAACCCTCAATCCTGGGCAAGGTAGAGCTCTCAGTTTTCATTAGTATTGCAGTTTAGTGCATATATTGGAAATTGTGTATACATTTAAGCTGTTGTCAACATTACCAACATTACCTAGTCATTTATGTTTTATTCTATATGGTGTTGAAGTGAAGGATATTTTTTCTTTAGTGCTACATTCTTTATATTTTTGTGAAGTAAATTATGGGAAGGGATTTAAGCCTATATTTTCTTTATACTAGCCATATAGTTATGTATATAGAGGTTTGGATAAATGATAAAAAATATAAACTGACAAGTCTAAATGTAAACTTTTTTAGTTTATTTTGTGCGACGTTTCGTGCAGACTCCCTTTGTTGTTGTAATGCAAGTAGGCTCAGAAATAATCATTAACAGGTAAGCTAATACAAAGATTCGTATCTTTTAACGATTATTTTTGAGCCTAATACCATTATAACACGGTTTTTAATGCCTGACGAAGGGCGTCTGCACGAAACGTCGCACAAAATAAACTAGAAAAATTTTCATTTAGACTTGTCAATTTATCTTTTTTATCATTTATCCAAGTTTTTCTTCTCACATCTTACGGAACAATACTCATATATGTAGTTTCATATTTTCAACTAAGAAATATAATTAAATTTAAGGTTCGGTAGAGTAATCAGCAACATATTGATGTTTAATGTTCTTTCCAGAAGTACAAAAAAACAACAACAACATAAACTCTAAAGTCTCTTTCGATTAATGAGGCCTATACAAAGAGTATTTACCTTAATAAATTTGTTTTAATTTATACTTATTTTGTTGAATATCAATTTATTCTTACGTCCTAAGGATTTGTTGGATCCTTATTTGACCCAGAATTGTACTTGCATTAACCTCTGGACTTGGATAAAAAAGGCAAGGAAAAACAACAGTGTGTTTGCACAGAGATCACACTATAAATTTAAATTATCACCAGGAAAACTCTCAGAACGATTATGATTTTATTTGTTAATATATTTATTTTGTTTCTAGTTTCCTAAACATTTGGTTTTTGCATTTTTATATTTTACTGAACCTTATTTGTTTAATGATAATATTATTGTTTACTGACATTGACTTTCGAAGCACAAAATCTTCCACTCGAGACCACATCCTGAGACTGACTTGCTATTCATTGCAATGTACACAGCACAAGAGCCTCTGAAACATTCACAATGTGAAGCTTTGTTGATCTAAACACCAATTTCAGCTGCTGTCATTAAAGGATGTATTCATACGTTGTTCACCAATTTTTGTATAATGTATCATTAATTATATGATGTTTCGAAATTAGAATAACAACTTTTTCACACCAATAAGGCTATACTACTTTTGTTTCTAAAGAATATTAACACTCTTGTTTTAAAAAGTTCTCACCTGAACATGCAATTCTCTTATGAGTGGTTTGGATGTATTAATACGCTCTATTATGGCTACAGACCCACTGTATTCCAAGGCAGTGCCAGCATACTTAATAATCTTCTTAAATGGAGACACTGTGAAGTTGCCATTAAGAAGGTACTCATAATTGTTCGACACAAGAGCTGAAAAAAAAGAAACAAATTAATTTACTTACAACTACTAATCATAATACCCATGTGAGTTACAACGAACGCTCTACTAATTCTATTAAGTAATTAGAAAAATCGAGAAAAGTTTAAATACGCGTTTTTGTTTTTTCTAAACAGCAGGAGGTCACTTTTCAGTCAAGTACATCCTTTCACGTGGGCCTACTTATGTGGATTATGTAACTGTGTCAAATGATAGAAATGTGAACAATTATAAAAATGAAGAACATTTTCTTCAACAACAACAACAACAACAAACACACACACAAACAGTTGCAAATTATTTGTTGCTTTAGCCACTGAGCAAAATATGTGATATGGCAGGATTGGCGGGTTACAGAAGCTGTACGGGGTTGATGATAATGAATGTTTTTGGCATGTTGAAGAAGCAGGACATGATAATGAACGTTTTTGGCACGTTGGAAAGGTACATCGTTTAAGGTACATCTCACTATCAATTTCAATTCATTTTTATCGTGTATTGCTACTTCAACATGCCAAAAGAGGTTAATTATCATTATCATGTATTGCTTGAATGATTCTGAGCTGCAGTTAAATTAAACAACTGACTAAAACACCATCAAGAATGAACTCAATGTTCACAAGCCAAGTTATTAGCATTCTTTCAAGTTATAAATTCGTCTTACCATAAACGTTTTACTGATTTAATTTTAGTAATAACGATCAAATAAATGACACTACATTATATGTGCGGTGTTTTTAGCTCTCTATTTTTACTCATCACAGTGAAGTTATACTTATATTGGATTTGAAGAATAAGTATACCATATAGGTTCACTGTGTGAATAAAATATGACTAGAATAATCATGCCTATAACATACAGTTCGGTTACTACACTATAATAAGCCTAATCTTGTTTTTCCCTTATGCAGGGTTACTGATGAGAGGTGGAATTCCTAGAAACTGATATAATTCAGCGAAAAGTGATGAAGCGAATGATAGATTCGGATTCATATTCATTTTTAAGTGGCGGTATAGTTTTGATGCTTAATGCTCTATTTTTATATATTATTGTACTAGAGTTATCTAATGAAATAGTAGTAGACAGCACATACTTTTGGTATTTGCCTACGGACTGCAAATCAGCACCTCAAACAGTATCCAAAGTATCTGACAAGTAGAATATTTATCTAATTAGTTTTATAAAATACTCGATGAAATAGAATAAGTAGCTGTAATGATTAAAACATTTGAGATAATGATTTAAGTTGTGTTTCTAAAAAAATATAAAATGATACAGTAAACTAAATGGCTGTTATTAGTTACTTGGGATAGTAACGTATTATTGTCATTTGCTTAGGATACATACATACTGTTGTTATCAGCCAGTATTTGAGATAGTTACCTACTGGCGTTAAGTGTTTCAGATAATTCTTAAAATACAAAGAATCGATAAAATGCGGTAAGAAAAAATAATGTTAAACTTTTCGACCAGAATGATCTTTATTCATGTGACGTGAAATTATACCTAAATAATCATCCTATTGATATTACCACGCTGTCATTAACTGCAAGTCAAGTTGTTAAGACGATTATTGCTTTGAAATAGCAATTCAATTTATTGTTATTAAAAATCTAGAATAGTTACCAAAGTATTTACAAGTAATAAAATATTCTTGCAAAAATTAAGTATTATGTATGGATGGCAATGCCAAAAATACAGAAAAATGGTAGAGATGAATACACAAAACCATGCAAAAACCACAACATAAGTAGCCAAATATATTCAAGAATAATTTTTATTTACAGGTACATGTTGAAATATTGACAATTGTTTGAATAAAAGCATTTCAACTGAATAGCACTATACAGTCTTACATTGAATATTAAGCATAATCTTGTAAGATTGACTCAGTACTTGCTACTTATTTAGGAATTTTTGTATGGCTTTGTGTATTCATCCTTACCTTGTTTCTGTACCATATAGCATTTTCGTCCTAACATCATATTAAATTTTTGTGAATTTTTTTACATTACTTGTTCCCCTCTTTTATCAACAATTTTATTGAAGTAGGTTGATAAGTGAGCATTTGTTTTATTATTCTAACTCACTGGTAATATATATTGTTAATATCATATCAGTTTTGTCAGTTTCTTTAATTTTGGATTACACTGGGGGCTAGTGAAGCTGGAATGGTTCTTCTAAGACAGTACAAGTACCCCAGAGCACTGGATCGATGTTAAGGGAATATTTATAGAACTCACGTCTTCAAACTTCACCTCAACTCATTGCGTGTGCATACAATCGACTCCACCACATGTAGGGTCATATTAATTACTATGAAGGAGATCATACATATCCCAGGTCATGAAGTATGATATCACTCAGTTGCCAGGCTCGGCCCTACTGAAATTTTTAAGATAAGTAGACCAGTATATATAATATATTGTTTTGGCAATTAAGAAACTGGTACTTTTAAACTCAGACATCAATAATATGTACACAGATCTGTCAGTTGCATAAATACTTGATCTCCTTGATACCTTGAGTGTTAATTTAGATTATTCTTTAATTCTTTATATTTATTGAAATTGTTTTGGCAGATATAATGTTTGTGCAATGAAAAGTGACGAACGGTCGTTATATAAGAACAATGTGTGCTGTCATCTAGCGAATAGAAATGAAACTTATTTATGTGAAAATAAAATAATATATGCTTATAAACTGAACTTACTGCTAAGTAGTAGTTTTCTTTTTATTATTTCCCCACAAAAATACATGTGGTAGAAGAACAGAATCATATTACTGTTATAGAAACTGTGAAACACTCGATAATAGCAATTAGGTGCCCAAATAAGGCAATAACTAAACTTTAGCAGTTATTTCCAAGCATCATAGAGTAATAGATTGAATGTGGTGGCCTTTTTGTTTCTACGCTCATCCTACATATTAGGCACTACCATGCTTAGTAATAATCTGTTTCCAAGTACTCTTAAGAGGCTTTTCTGTCGTACTAAAGCCAGTGCGAAAACTTAACTCATTTTGTGGCTAGCATGGGAGAAGAAATAAGAAAGATGAAACTTTGGCTCCTTAGCTTGTTCCCTGTTTTCCACTTTAGCAACACTTTTCAATGAAATTGGGAATCTCACAAGCTGTGAAACACTCGATAATGGCAATTAGATGCTCAAATAAGACTATAACTCAACTTTAGCAGTTATTTGTAAACATCATGGAGTAATAGACTGAATGTGTTAGCCATTTCTTTCTCAGTCCATCCTTATATATTAAGCACTACCATGCTTAGTGATATTGTAAAATTTTAGTTAGATTCGGAATCTGTCATAAAGTACATAGATTATTTTCTTACGCAGTGATCACCATATAAAAAATATCCGAGATAATTACTTAAAGAACTCTCATAATAGTAATGTAAGTATTTAACTATATTGTCAATAATAACTCGGATTTGTTGTCACTATGTATGTAGAATAGTTACCTAAATAGTTGTCATCTTGAGGAGAGTTTTGGTAACCATATTGAAGAATTTCAATGTTACTTGCTCCTGCTGGAATCATGACGACCAAGTGATACCCTGGGATAAAAAAACAACAACAGAGAGTATAAGACCATGACGGTTTTTGTGACCTGTATCATTTGTTGTTTGATGACTGAATCTCAGTACATGTTAACAAGAAAGCTAAAGATGTGACCTGTCACTACGACAATAATGAAAAAATATTATGCGTTTTTAGAATAATTACAATTTTTAATACATTTTATTATAATGTTTCTGTTTTGTTAAAAGCACAGGAAAGTAGATTTAAAATATTAAAGATTTCTCAGAAATAAAATGTCGAACATCACACATACCTCCAACATTAGAAAATAGTCAAATAAAGACTTGAAATTGGAGAAACATATTTTTACTTGGTATTACCATAATAAATAAATAAAAAAACATTATTTGAAAAACAACTCTTCTAAAGCAGTTAATATTTATATTTGCTTTATACGTTATTTGACTAAAGTAAGTTTTAATGTTTATTTTTATATGTAGTAAAACGTTTCTACAAAATGTTTTGATTGTTACAATATTATTCCCATAAATACCAGTCGTCAATTACAGCCGAGTTATTGTTTTAAGATTGTTTACTGTTCGACTATATTTAAAATTAATATATAACATATTAAGCCTATGTACTTTATTATCCTATCCCAAAGAGTTTCAACATAAAAAACATAACAAAAAATCATGTTCCTAAAATCTTGGAAAACAAATCAGACCAATTGACAACTTACCATACTTAACCTCGTTGAAGTGTCCACGTATTGTTTTGCAAGTGGAATTGTCACCTCCGCAAATTCCACATCGGTCTAGAGTTTTGTTGGAACCTAGGATGCGATCACACCCTGCACTCTGCAAACAAAATGGTATATGTTATTTCAGACGTTCGACAGGAGCTCTTAACAACACACGTAAACAGTCCACTGTTTGTCAAGATATCTTAATATCATGTATAACAGTCCACTAATCGTCGGAGACTATTAACAACACGTATAAGAGTCCACCGCATAAAAATGTGCTAGGAGTATTTTCAATAAAAATTTACTAGTGTTTAATCTCTTATTTACTTAGAACGCCCGCTATTTCTATTTCCAGGAACAATGGGGGCGGTCATTGATTAGGGTTTTTACACTGAATACGATAATATATGGCTTGTAGGGTCTTTCTTTTATAAATAAAAATAATAAAGCAACCAATTATAACATTGTTATTTTGTCAAACTTTTCAATGTTACAATGTTTCTAGTAATACAGAATGCCAAGTCGCGATAGTGTTAAAGAGTGCTTTACAAATATGCTTACCATTTCATCTTCAACCAGTCATTCTGTATATATCAATTTGACCAGTTCTTTAAACCACATTTAAACTTTAATTTAGCGACAAGTTTTCAGTAACACGTACAACTATTAATCTTATATAAAGTTTACTATAAGCTAATATTTGTCCAACGCCTTTATTATTTTATCACATTACTTAACTCTCGAGCATTTAAAAGCTACAGCCCAACACCATTTGTTTTTGTCTTCTTCACTTTGTAAATTAGCTATTGGCACCGTTCTCTTGCAGTAAGTAGTCTTGTTTTAAGAATTTATTTGATTCATATGTAAGAGTTCAAAGTTCATTAAGTGTTCGCTAAATACGCAAATCTTCTGTGATGAATTTCTACATAGTATATTCAAGGCTATAATGAATTAAGGGCTTTTTGGCATAGACTAATATAGTATGAATAATATACCTTTGGTCTAGAGGTGGTATTACCCTCTAAGCGTATTCTTGTTGAATACATTGCGGATGACCTTTTTGAAAATTCTGAACTTTTAATATTAACCCTCTAGCAACTTAATGTGTTTTATTAAAATTACGTGTATTAATACTCAATATTTTATGCCCTAATTAGTACAAATACATAATCTGACTACTCCACATTTGTTTACAATCAGTTTGGCTATTTTAATATATGTGCTTTCAACTAATTTCTGATCAACCTTTACCATGGCTGTCTTATTTCACATGTTTTAACTGTCATGTTCGGTATCGGGTGTTTTCTTTTTTCTGTTTTTCTTTCACTTTGTATTAAGATCCAAACAACAAGATAGTTGAAAATACTCTCTTATCAGTGTCTAATCAGTTTGTTTTAACTGTCAACAGATGAATATCTTCCTCAGTGTTTAGAACATTTATATATACAAAGCACATCTGTGTGTTTGTCTGTTTGTCCGTTATGTAACTACCCCTAGGTCGCTGGGTCAATCTCAACCAACCTTTGTGGGATGATAGTTTGGAACAAGGGGCATGGTTAATGGCGGTTAACAACCCTCTTTATCCCCATTATTGCTATTATCAAGCAGTTGTTATCCTTGAGTAAATTAACGTTAGCTTCATTCACAGATGGCGTCACGTCCTTAACACACATAAAAGTTATCAAATTTTCTATAACACAACATACACAAAGTGTTAGGAGAGGCCACACAAACGTCTTATATATCTCAAAGAGTGCGCTAGCACTCTATATGAAGTAATGTAATGAAAAAATGGCCACCATTACTGCAGTAATACATTAACTCCGCTGAAAGACTGATATGAAGAGTGGTTTCTTGAGTTATACCCACTTCCTACTTTGACCCGAGACGTTTCAACTTCGGCCTGTAAGACACTTCTGCGCCCAATGATCGTCAATTAATTAATCACGTGAAACACTGTAGAAGGACATTAAGATCTGGGTGTTGAAAGCGGGTAAAAGAAAGTACACCTATCGCCACTACTTTGGTCGCCACATCTTCCTACAAAGTCACCCTAACCATCTCACAGAGTGTAGCATGTTTCAAGTATATCCATATTGAGTTCTTGAAGCTTATACAAAAGGTTTGGTGAGGTAATAACGATTAATGTAATAATATGTTATGTTAAGATCCCGGTCAGTGAGAAACCCACCCTTGAGGCTGCCGTGCGCCCTTTTATAAAAAGTATCAAAAATAAACTGGAAAAGTAAGTAATAGGAACGGAATGGTCTAAAAAGGCGAGAGCAGCTTTCAAAATTTAAAAATCCTTTCTGGTCGCGGAGAAATAGACGAAAACGATCAGCTACCTCCCGACTTCCCAGAAAATCAAAGGAACGATTCGGAATGCTTTGATTTTAGCAAATATCAGAGTTATTTTAGTTCTAATGATGTTATTAATCAATATCAAAGCATAATTTGGGAAAATAAACATGTTTCTAGTTTTCTTCCTGTACGTCTTCAATTTCAATGTCCAAATCTTGAACGAAACACTCTCTTCAGCACACATTTCCGTAAAAGACATCTTGCTATGCCTCTTCCTTCTTATTTTTTTTGACTGGATTTTGGACTTTTGCACTACTCCACGTCTACTTTGGAGGAGAACATGGCAATGTTTTGCTGTACGTATAACTGAAGGATCACAATGTAAACACATTTCACAACTTTTGCAGCTTCCTGTATTTTTGTATTTATGTTCTTCACATAGTCCTGGCCTTCTCTTAACTTCGGTCTTACTTGCGCCTCGAAAAACGAAAAACTGATTTCGAAACAGCTGAATTTTTTTTTTACATACGGCAGTGTTATTCGGTTTTTACGGTATTTTTCCGCGCAAAACATTAATATGCAATTTAAAATTTTTTTCGCTGAAAAAAAACATAATTTTAGGTGGGTTTCTGACTGACCAGGATCTTATAAATAAATTAAGTTAAAGTTATAATTGTTATTTATCATAGCACGCAACCACACATTGTTTCAAGTTCATAACCCGGACAAAGGACGGATACCTCAGATTGTTAGAAATAATACATTTCACACGCATCATTTCAGAAAGTTTTTTATTCCTAATTGTGAGAAATATGTATCTTAAGCTCTTCAATAATAAACTAAAGTTTCTTAAACAGTATTTTTTCAATGTTAAATTATTTTCTCACAATAATGTCTTTATCAATGAATTTTCAAAACACAAACTAAGGATATCCATATTAGAGAGTAAAAACAATTGTGCACTCAGAACATAATGGTGAAGCCTGTATTTTGATTGTTAGCTGATACTGCTGACTCCAAAAGTAATGACCCTGAAGCCTTAGAAGTGTAACTAAATTTCTGCATCTCCCTGCAGTCTAGAATGATTCTTTAAATTACCTGTCAACACTCCCATCTGGAATACTGTGAATTACTTGCCACCATTCCTATCTGGAATACTATTAATTATCTGCCAGGATTCCTATCTGGAGTACTATAGATCATCTGCCAACATTCTTTATTGGATTAATAGCTAGACCATGTTCCAACTCACAAAGTTGGGGAATTTTTTTTTCCCATAACAGGAACACCAACAATACATATCACTAAAGTACTACGATGTCAATCTATTGGGTAACTTTTAAACTGTGAGACTATTGATAACCACTCATGGATATTATTAATTACTTGTTGTTTATTTATGAATATAGTAAATTACTCAAGGTTTATTCAAGAGCATTGTGAATTACTTATGACTTAAATTATTCACGAATAGTGCAAGTTACTTATGGGTTATTCATGTGTTACTGAAGTATATTCAGAGTTACCTGAAGATTACTCGTGAGTAGAGCTTGGTCATTGTGAATAACTTATGATTTACTAACAAACTACTCATGAGCTGTGACAGATACTGGGTGTACAATGCATATTTTAGGATAAATAAATACTTTTAATTTTGGTTGTTTTAGAACACTTCGATAACATTCTAATAGTGAAATATGGTGATGTAAGAATGTAATAAATTAAGAAAATATTTTGAAGCGAAAGTTAACCAACCTATCTCTTATTATCTACCTAAATATTCTCACTGCCCGTTATCTTTGTTCTTTGTGTACCCAAATATATATTTCTTATTTTTATGCCACAACTCATAAGCAACAAAAGTTTATCATAAGTTGAATATATAAGAATTGCATATTCACAACTACCAGTTTGTTATACATGAGCATTCTGGGTTATTCATTGATTGCAAGTAAGCATTATGAAATGATAAGTTACTTCAGTTATAACTCACATTGTAAAATATAACTCAAGTTATCATTAATACAGTCATAACATCAAACAAAACGATGCTTAACTTTACTAATCGACTTTCTAGCATTACAAAGCACTAAGAAATATTGTACCTGTTCATTAATTTCAAATTATATGTCACACCCTTTCACCTATTAGTGTAGGGCTTCATGACCTGGAGCAGCCAGTTCTGACTTCCTTCAGATAAGTATCACCATAGCTTTAAAAATGAGGAGGGTTTATGAAAAAGTCCAATAAACATTAGTGATTCTGCATACGTTCAGACTACATGGAATTATTTTCCTATAGTTTATATTTATCAGTAACACCTACGTCTATATAACAATAAATCCAATTAGGATTGTACTTTATGTGATGAACTGGAAGGGTAAATCTAACTTTTGTTATGACCAATGGAACTTTGTATTATAGTTTTCTGTAAATAAAACGGAAATAGATTTAGTAGCTGCTTCATTTACTTCACAATGCTCATGAATCTCTCACTGTTTATGAGTAACTCAAAAAAAGCAATCAGATAAACAGAAATACTGCTTGGAACATCATACGTTTGGTGAGGCCCTAAATATTAGTGGATTTTTAAGTAAGGATATTGGTTGGGGGACATAGTTTTTCTTCATCTTAAGAGTGTTGACGCCTGAGTAGGTATTTTAGCCAGTGTAATTGTCAGATAGTTCTCAATAAGTCCAGAGAAATTATATTTGCTTGTAAAGTGTAAAGACGTGCTGAGAATCTTAGTATCTTTTCAATGATTTCCAGAAACATTATTTTTTGCTGTCAAGTATAAAATATAAAATGCAAATATGTCATAAAAGGGTTTTTCATGACTAGGTTCGTGATTTACTTTTAAAGTGAATACCTCTGGATTGATTGTACAAAAAGGTCGGTTAAAGAGTAAAGAGGTCATTAACAGAAATAGTTTTCACATTGAAATACAAAATATTACAGGTTTTATAGAACATTAATGATGGAAATTTCACGATTTCGCTTTAAGGAGAGTACCTTTTGATTGAATGTATAATAAGTACAATGATAAAAATAACATTGGGAGGAAGAGTTTCACACAGAAATACAAAATATTGTGGGATTATAGAACATTAATGGTGGATATGAACCATAAGTTCTTTACAATTAAGTATTACACAACATGCTGACTGAACTTGCTCTTTATGGTGGGTTTGTTTGTTTTTTAATTACGCACAAAACTCCACAATGGCTATCTGTGCTCTGCTCACCAAGGGTATCGAAACCCGGTTTCTAGCGTTGTAAGTCTGCAGACATACCACTGTGCCACTGGGGGGCCTTTATGGTGGGACCACGAAACATCTAAGTGCAGTGAATGAAATGCATTTTCGACTTATTTCGATAAGCAGAAAAAACAATTTTTATCTATATATATTTTTTCTCAATGTTTTGCCGTGTTGGCCTTGTTAGAAGAACAAGACATTATTATAGTAAAATCTAAAATAAAACGAAGGTGAAAAAATAAAACACGGTTAAAAAGTTTTTTTTTTTCTCGGGAGATAACTAACAATTTACTTCTATAAGTTAAGGTATTTTTAATAAAGATAATAGGCTATTATGACAAATTTTATATGCAAATCTCACTTGAGGCTACCAGGTCATGGGTACTTCCTTTCATCCTTTTGATCGTATTCACTAATACTCAGAAACATTAGCTTGATATTTTTTTTCATCATACTAAATAGTCTTAACCGCCATGACTTTCCGTTTCATAGGTCCTTTAAGATTAATCAGTCAGGAAAAATATTTTAGTGAATCAGTTTAAACCAAACTAACCTGAGTCTGGACATGGGAGGGGGACTTCTTACTTAAGGTTATTAATAAATACTGATCAAATTAGTCTCTAACTGGTGGAGTGAATGGACTTGGAGAAGCCTTGGGTTATCAAATAGTACAATTTTGATAAAATACACCCATGATATTAAATTATATTATTTTAATAACTCGGTTAATCGAATATGGCAGCAACTCACTGTCGATGCAATATCGAATTCAAATAGCCTATCGCTTTGTTTAGACGAGTTCATATTTAGCATAATAGTACGAATTTAAATAAATTTACCTCACATACACCATTCACACAAATGTCGAACGTATCCTGATCACATGGGGTTCCGTCTATGACTCTATCTTTTAACAGGAAATGGGCAGTTGTACCACGCACTCGACAGTAAAGTTTACAGGCTTCTGAACGATCTGTAAACAATGCAAAGCTAAAAGTAACTTCATTCGTAAAAATAAGAATGTTATTTACGTTACTAAGAAATATTCTTTAAAGTGAGATACGTAACATTTGTTTCTACTGAATAACAAGTTTCATACCATAATCACCATTTAACAAAATTGACACTAATATTTGCTTAACGTATTTAACATTTCTAAGTTAGATTTCTTGAATTTAGTGTAGAAAAGCACAACTGTTTATTGTTACCGTTCATTATATGTGAGGGATATATATATTTAAAAAAAAATTTAAATGAAATGCTACTAAAATTACTAACCTTCAGAATAAAAAGGGAGCCAGTTGACGCTAGAGGGCAGTCCATGAAAGTTCATGGTCTTGCCGTTAAATGTAGAGCATTCTTCAGCCCTGGGATCTGGAGTCCCAAGTGGGCAGCTCTGGAAGAAAAAAATAAACACCCACTTCCTTTACAAGTAATTATTCAATTAATGAAACTTGATAACTTATTTTTAAGCTTCAAAAATTAAGCCTAAAACTGAAAATTTCGTCTTTAAATCATGCAATGAAAATAATTGTGATTTCACTTGAAGTAGTACTTTATTGAAATACTAAATATGACATCTATAATTCAAGATATGTATTTTTCTTTCAACTTGTGACAGAAATAGAAGGTTAGCAAAACAACTTTAAGTTTAATTTAAACCTGTGATAGTAAATACGAAACTGGGGAGCATTTAATGCAATATTTGAACATTTTATAACCTCACTCATTTAATGCTATGGCTTTTAGTCCACAAATCCAGCCATTATGTCTGAAATCGTCTGAAAAGTTTTTATTTTCTTAGTTTCATTAGTTCCCAGCAAATATATATAAAATTACCTAAATCATCTTATTTCTCCGAGAATTTTATTCAAAATCTACTTTACAATTGTTTCTTTTTTATACTTACATGCGTATTACAAGAAAGATATCGGGTCCTTTGCCCTAAACAATATTTTCCTCCGTGTACAGGCCTGCAAAATGACAACAAAGTGCATGAGCGAGAAAGTAAAAAAACAATTAAGGAACTTATGCACGACGCTAATGTAGCTCAAACATTATGGTTTGTTAAGTTTGTAAAGGAATATCTTCGTAAGTTGTTTCTGTAATAAGTTTGCTTGCCTTGTACTTTTACATTGTAAATTAGTCTATTGTTATCGTTATAGTATGTCAATGACCTTTATAAATCCTTTAAATGTTAAGAGTAAAATATATTTAAAATATACTAAACGCTATAATTCATTGAGATTTTATTGATGATTTAAGGCTCGTAATTATTTTTTTATGTCAAGTATTTCGTTCTACGTGATTAAGCTAAGATTATCAACCTAGAACTAGAAGTGAGATAGCGCGTCAAACAACTGTCTCCTTTAAGTCCTTCCCATTAACTGACCAAGCAGATAAAGACCAATAAAAAAGAGAATCTGAGAGTGACCAATCACATGTTTGTATAGATCGCACATGTTTTTCACAAAAAGTATTTTCACCTTTAATAACAGTTACAGACTTTAAAATCGAACACCACTTTTTATATAGAATAACGTTCTATAATGTGGTTTAAAATCAAAGATAAAGCGAATTACTAAACAGACGTTTCACTTGTTTTAATGCAAGATAATATTCATGAAAATATTAGTTTGTTTTATTAATGGCAACCTCAACTCCAGTTTAGATGAATCAATTTGTAAGTACTTCGTTATCTGGGTTAAGTGGACGTAATGTTCATAGAACATTTTTGACATACTATAACACATTCTTCTTCACTTAACCTCTTAGAATTTGTAGACTCTCTAGATATAACCTAGTAAATTTATAAAACATTAATTCAAACACAATACAAGAACGCACATGATTAGCAAACGTTTTTTTGCATTTATGATTTCTTTTCTTTGCTGTAAATATAATGTGAAAACATGGCTCAAAAAACAATTTTAGTTAAATAATTAGAACGATATTTGTATTATGATAAATTGCTAGGTGATACAAACAACTCTTCTTAAAACGTATCTACATATTGAGTCATTTTGTTTTTTGTCTGTTACAACACTCATTGTAAAAGAGTGAAAACACTTATTTTATTGAATAAAATAATAGACACCCCATCAGTAATTAGTTGGATTAATTGCAATATTAATATTTAATGTTTACATTTTCTGTTTGATTTGTATGTTATCAGGGACAAGGTAACCAATAAAGTCATGGAGTCATAAGAAATTTGGAGCATCAATAGCTTAGATATATGTTTTAAAAGCAAAGGAGGTCTATATGTATCCCACCAATAACTTAAGAGATAAAATGCATTTTCTCACGTTAGTTTGCTATTCCAAAGTAGTATGTTTAGACTTACTGATGAATTTTATGGTTTTGTTTCGAATATTGTCGCCAAACTACATAAAGTCTGTTTCCACTGGCTGTTCCTAATTTTGAACTCAGAGTAAAAGGAAGGCAGCTAGTCAATAACACTCATCGTACCTTTAGAGTTATCCCAGTTGAAGAGTTGGATTTTACCGTCACTCTTATAACACACCTACTACTTCAACATGCGAAGAGCGATTTTGATACATGCTGACCATTTGGCACGCCAGGACTTTACTGTTGAAATTGTTTAGCGTGATTTAAATAGTTATAAACACTGTTGTTCAAGCTTCTGTCTGTGTCACTTCATGTGTCTCTAAATCAGTCTTTATTGCTATTTCACACATCTGTCCCGATTATTATTTGTACATTAAATAATCTAAACTACCGCTTTTGTTTTTCTGCGTAATTTCTTTTCTTGAGAAAACAGTATATACGTCGATTATCTTTATGGACAAATAGGCTGCCATTCTAAGCAAATATGAGAATTAATTATGTTTTTAATCATTAAAGACCTTTTAGATTGTGTTATGAAACGAATAAAGTGAATCTTCTTTTTGGTTTCCCTCATTGTTTGAAAGTAACGACAACAGTGATTAACTCCTGTGGCTAAATCCTCTAGTAAGCAATATTTCAAATAACTATAGAAAATAATAGTAGCATAAAATTGAATATATACTGGTTTAACTGAGGATTAAAAAGTCAAGCACTAATCGAGGCAAGCATACAGAAGATTGGCTATAGACAAGAAAATCAAATTTTTCACGATCAAAGGATGTCTAACTTGGGTGACTACATTTTGGAAACTTCATCACGTAATTATATCGCATGAGATAAAACAGAATTAGTAGTGTCCTAAGCACCTTTATCATGGCATTCACTGCTGCTCGCCCTATATGTAAGCGGAATAAAGAATGAGAAGTTAATTAATACTTACCTAGGGTTGTCACATTCTCTCACCGATTTCTGAATACCACCTCCACAGTCTCTAGTACATTGGCCGTACCTTTGCCACTTGCCCCACTGACCATCAACAGGTTCTTGTTTTCGATTGTCCACTTTCACACATTCACCACGCTGGCACCACTTAGTTATTACCTCTGTTCTATTCCAAAGTTCTGTATAAAAAAATCAGTTACCAAGAAACCCATAGGGAAGTGTTTAGTAGTTCCGTTCTATACTAAGGTTCTACATAAAAACATTATTCACCTAGAAACCACCCAGGGAGGTGTTTATTAGCTTAGTTCGATTTTGAGGTTCTAAAAACATTGATTACCCAGAAAATCACAGAGAGGTGTTTATTGCATCACTTGAGCTCTAAAGTTCTACATAAGAACATTGGTCACCCAGAAACCCACAGTAAGGTGTTTATTACCTCAGTTATATTCTGAAGTTATTCAGTCAAGTTATTCATAAAATGGATTAATGTATTACTGTTCTTTTGTTCCTCCCTGTGAGTTTCTGGATGACGAATGAGACTGAGATAATAAACATCTCCCTTTGGGTTTCTGGGTAACCAATAGTTTTGTGTAGAACCTTCGAATCGAACTGAGCGAATAAACTTCTTCTGTGGGCTTGTGGGTAACCAATGTTTTTACGAAGAACCTTAGAATCGAGCTAAGCTAATAAACGTCTCCCTGTCGGCTTCTTGATGACCAATGTTTTTATCCAGAACCTTGGAATTTAACTGAAGTAATAAGCTCCTCCCTCTGGGTTTCTGGGTGACCAATGATTTTATGTATATCCATAGAACCTGAATGAGGAAATAAAATACCCCCTGTGGGTTTCTGGGTAACCAATGATTTTATGTAGAACTTTAGAATCGAACTGAGCTAATATACACCTCCGCGTGGGTTTCTGGGTCACAAATGTTTTTATCTAGAAATGCAAAATCGAACTCAGCTAATAAAGACCTCCCTTTGGATTCCTGGGTGACCAATGTTTTATGTAGAACCTCAGAATCTAATTGACGCAATAACCATTTATTTAGGGGTTTCTGGGTGACCAATGTTTTTATCTAGAACCTTAGAATCCAAGTGAAGTACTAAACACATAAACGAGGGTTTCTGGATGAGAAATGATTTTATGCAGAACTTTGGGGTCTAAGAGAGTTAATAAACACTTCCCGGTGGGTTTCTGGGTCACCAATGTATTTCGTAGAACTTAAAAATCGAAATGAGCTAATATAAATCTCCCTTTGGGTTTATGGGTAACCAGTGTTTTAATGTAGAACCTTAGAATCTAATGGAGTTAATAAACTCCTCTATGTGGGTTTCTGTGTGATCATTGTTTTTATTCAGGACTTTATAACTTAACTGAACTAAAAAAAATCTTCCTGTGGATTTTTGTGTAACCAATGTTTTTATGTAGAACCCTAGAATCGAACAGAGGTAGTAAACACCTCCCTATGGGTTTCTGGGTGAGCAATAATTTTATGTAGAACTTTAGAATCTATCTGAAGTGATAATCACCTATCTGTTGTTTCTGGGTAACCGGTGTTTTAATGTAGAACCTTAGGATCGAACTGAGCTAATAAGCACCTCAATTTGGGTTCCTGGGTAACCAATATTTTTAGAATCCTAGAGTCGAACTAAGCTAAAGAACAAACAAAGAAACTTCTTGTGAATTTTTAACTGAAGTAATAAAAAGCTTCATGTGAGTTTCTGTGAGCTGGTGGGTAATCAATGTTTTTATGAATAACCTTAGAATCAAGATAAGCTAATAAACATCTCCTTGTGTGTTTCTTGATAAATAATGTTTTTATGCAGAACTTTGGAATCCAACTGAGGTAATAAACTCCTCCCTTTAGATTTCTTGGTAACCAATGTTTTTATGTAAGACTTTAGAATTTAACTGAGGGAATAAAAAGCTTCATGTGGGCTTCTGAATAACAAATATGTTTATGTAGAACCTTAGTATCGAACTAAGCTAATAATACCTATCTGTGGGTTTTTGGATGAGCAATGTTTTTATGCAGAACTTTAGAATCTAACTGAGGTAATAAACACCCCCCCCCTGAGGGTTTCTGGATGACCATTGTTTGTATGTGGAGCTTTATAACCTATCTGAGGTAGTAAACATCTTTCTGTGGGTTTCTGGGTGACCAAAGTTTTCATGTAGAACTTTAAGGTCTAAATGAGGTAACCTTGTGGGTTTCTGGGTAACCAGTGTTTTTATGTAGAACTTTTGAATGTAATTGAAGTAATAAACTCCTCTTTGTGGGTTTCTGGTTGACCATTGATTTTATGTAAATCCTTAGAACCTGATTGAGGTAATTAAATATTTCCTGTTGGTTTCTAGGTAACCAATGTTTTTATGTAGGACGTTAGAGTCTAACTGAGGTATTAAACACTTCCTTGTGGTTTTGTGGGTAACGAATGCTTTTATGTAGAATCTTTGAATCGAACTAAGCTAATAAACACCTCCCTGTAGGTTTATCTTAGTGATCAATGTTTTATATAGAAATTTAGAAACTAACTGAGGTAAGAAACACTTCTCTGTGGGTTTCTGAGTGACCAATGTTACTATGTAGAACTTTAGAATCAAATTGAACCAATAACGTCTTTACTGAGAATTTGTATAAAACAATTTTTTAATGTTTCAAAGTTCGCTGTCTCATCCGTAGTATACAGATTACACTCGGCTAAATATTTGATCACTTTTCTTCGAATTGTATTGTATACTGGTATATATATTTTCTTTTCGGATCCCTTGTACTGCTTGAAAATAATGAAATGTGTAATGATCTAGTGTTTAATTTGTATTAAATAAGTCATATCTAAATATTCTTAAATGAGTGAAAAATCTTAATATCTACATTACTTGGTGCAAAATTATGTTACTTGAATTACATTATTAATACTATCATTACAAACAGCATTACGATTATTCTGATTCTGATTAACAGTTAACACTTGTATGTACTAAGTATTTTCCCAATTAGTAATCGATATATGAAAGTGTTGTGTCCCTAAACAACAAAACAAAGAAATCTGTATAGTTCGTTTGTGAAAGATTTAGCCAAACCATACCTTGTTAAGACCACAAAATGTTCCGTCGGCCCATGGCATGTGTTGAGTCCGACAACCATAGTTATTACTTCCCTGAAGAGTGCACCATAACTTTCCACACACAGGCATATAGGGACATATTTTCGAATCGCTGCCGAACACCAACTCGCATTGATAATCCATGTCATATGCCTGCCCAGGGTATGTTTTCGCAATCGAAGAATTATGAATTAGTAGATTCTCTGTAGGCTTGTCGATAAGACATTCTCCATTACCTGAGCTGAGAGAGAAATGATATGAAGCCATAGGTATTAATACTTTCGTTGCAATGATCAGTTACAATAAATATACATATATACATGATTATTGATAATAATATACAGACAGATCTGGACCTCATCTAATTAAAGTGTACTCTTGTCGGGTGAACTTAATTCTCTATCAACGATATAAAGACTGATTTAACGTCACGCAATAACTGTCTGCTCTTGCTGAGGAAAGTTTATGAACGAATAACAATGCTGCTAAGAGAAATATTTTAACTAACAACAATGTAAAGTCTGATTTTGATAGTGTTTGTTCACTATTACGAATGAAACTTCATTGGCTGCATAAATATGGATCGATTTCTGACTCCAAGAAGTGTTAGTAAAACTGGTAATATCAGACAATAGTATCTGTATTTATCTGTTATCTGTGTTTGCAGTTTATTATTTTTTATTATCAATAATTAATAATAGCCATTCATTTTATGGCTACCTAATCACCAAACTAAGTAAACCACATTGTTTATAAAGAGGCAGCATAATAATCCAACTTTAACTTCGCAAAATATATGTTATTACAAGATTTAGTTAAATTAAGTATGATAACTATCACACTAGTCTTCCCCGTTTTTGTATACTCAAACGGTGTAGTAGCATCACTGGCATGTTCGTAAGGAATGTAAAAAACTAGCTAAATATAGAGTAGAAAAACGTCTTAAATGTGTTGGCACGCTAGCCACTTGCCATAATCTATATGAAGGTCAGATTGCATCATGCCTGAAAAAAACATCTTTTTTAAAATTCTAAAACCTTTCCTGTTAAGAAATGGAATCGTAGGATTTTAAAGTGAAAGCATTTGTAAAGAGTAGGATACATGGTAATTATTAACTTTGTATCACATTAAATGCTTTACTGTACAGTTAATGTTGTGTATCAACAATTTCTCCATTAAATTACTTGTTTGTATTCATAAGTTTAATAATGTATTTTACGATTGACAAATATGTTGATATATATGCCTAATTTATAAACTTATTCAGTTTAATATGGAATAATACTTTATGCGTTTCTTTGTGCATTTATTTCAAACAAGATGAAGTGCCTGAATATAGTATCTATGTATATTTGTCACCTTAATCCAGGGATTCATATTACAACTCACAAACTTCTTAAAACATTTACCAATAAACGTGGCTTCTTATTTGAGCTCACACAGCAATTGTATGTGAATGGTAAAAAGATTACTTCACCCATATATATGATCTGATGTTAAATAACTGTTGTTGTTTTTTCTAACAGTAAGCTATATATTATTTCAAAACAAGTGGGGTGTGTGCTGTCCGTTTATTGTCGAATTATTGCCAACAAGTCATACTGTAGAAGAATCCTTAGCCCAAATACACATACAATTCTGACATGACTGCATACAGCTTTCAACTTGTCTCAACTTATGTTCATATATTTCATTTGTATAATTGATTTTATTACATATGTTTTACAAAGGTGGATGGTATTACTATATGCGGATTGTGTTTCTATAGGCAAATGGTGTTACCAAGGTCCTATAGGTGATTGGTGTTTCTTTAGGTGGATAGTGTTACTATAGTTTGTAGAATTGCATACAAGTTTTATTCTGTCTCACCATATGTTTATAATTTTTCATCTATATATTTATCTGAATTAGAATTTTACAAAACAGATGGTGTTACTAGATAGATTGTGTTACTGAGGTCCTACAGGCAGATGGTATTACTTGGCAAATTGTGTTACTAAGGCTAGTCCTGCTAAGGCTGATGGTGTTTCAATAAACATATAATTCAATAGAACGATGAGCTCATCATAAGGTGTCTTAACGTGTCTAAACATATGATTACATCATCAACATTGTAGTTTATATTTAATTATATATCCTAAAAAGTTACAAGTGAAACCATTATTTTAACGAGACAACTATTATAACACTGAATGAATGCAGCAAATATTATAACATAGCTAATAAATCTACTTTACTCAATTTTATAATTAGCTATCTTGAAATAACTTTACCAACACAATTTTTATAAATATTGAATGAGACAGTTAATATTTCTTAATAATTGTGCTTTTAAGTACAATTCAGTACGAAGTTAACATACTGATTATAGTTTTGCTTTTATATTTAATTTGCATGACATATTTTTTTATAATTTCTGATGTTTCATGTGTAAAACACTTAATACTAATTATTTTCTATAATTAATATATAGTATAACATCTATTTGCCCTGAAAAGGACGCTTTTTTATATCTCATGTTTAACTTTATAAGTTGATTTGTTCTGCTAAAGTTTAAAGTATCTACATAAATAGTTATGTTTAATTATTAATATTCTTACCTTTCAGTAGATAATTTCATAAATCTTTGTTTTGAGTTGATTCTTGCTGGTTTGAAATGGTATGTATATAGACTCGATAAATAATGATCTTACCATTTCGAAAAACGAGTTTTTAATACAAACAGCTCACTCTTTGTATACTATTGCTGACACATCCCAGTTGACATATTAACCTAAGACTACTAACGTTAAGACCACCAACCCGCTCGATAAATTTTGATTTTAGGAAATACAAAAGACAGGAGAGGTTGTCACGTGGCCAACTAACTAGTCCTCTGTTAAAAGTGACAGAATAAAAGGTCAATATCCTGAAAGGTTTGGTTTATTTATTTGTTTATTTGTAATTAAGCACAAAGCTACACAATGGGCTATCTGTGCTCTGCCCACCACGGGTATCAAAACCTGGATTCTAGCGTTGTAAGTCCGCAGACATACCGCTGTGCTACTGGGGGGCAAAAGGTTTGGAAATTAGTAAATTTTATAACACACAGACATACACCTTTTAGGTAAAGTACACTATTTCTAGTTTGTAACGATGTGTTACGAGACTAAAGACATGCCACTTTCAAACATATATATATTAAATATTTGTTGACGAATCAGAAATTCCATTACACTAAAACTTTTAATCTTATGAGCTCACTAAAGCATTAAACCGAAAAAAGCTTGTGCATTTCGTAGAGTCCAGTAACAAATAAATAATAATGCAAACCGTGGTTGTTAGCAATAAAAAAGACGCATGAAATCATTTTATAAATCCAAAACATTTACTCTTTATAATTACAGAATATATTTCGCAAAGACAATGTGAAATCACAAATTTCACAAGAATCACACATAATGAAATATTTATTAACAAAACTTCAAGAATTAAATACACCATTATACTATTTACAAAAACTACCATCATCTTAGTTTATAAAATACTGGACCAGCTTTCATACAGCATTTGTACACTATGTCTGTCTTACTACTTGTTCATCTCAGTTTAGTATGTAAGATTCTTAATATAGCTTATAAACGAAAAACGTAGTGTAAAATTATTGTATTTTGCTGAGTTCATGTTATTAAGTAAATAAAAAAAAACATTTTATTATCAATACTCAGTAAGATTAAACTGTGCCAAAACTACAGCAAATTGTCAAAAAGTCAGACTGTGTCAGTTGGAAAATATAGCTTAGAATAGTTTTCAAAATAAAAGATCGTTTGACTATGATCGATTCAATTCTCCTTGTTCTTTGTTAGATTGTTTAGGCAGAGTATTCGTATTGAGTTTACTGGAATGGGTTGTAGCTGCCTGTTGTAGAAAAAGCACAAGTATATCGGATGGTATTTTGAATGTCTTCTGCTTTTCATCTTCAGCTCAGTGTGTGTAAACTGTTGCAGGTCTCTTATAGCATCCTGGTGAATTTTGAAAGATGTGCCATGATTGGTTGTCTATCCCTGGTTCTAATTTGTAGAATGGCTACATTTGGCTTCAGCCAATGGTAGCTATAGGTAGCTCATCTCTAATCCTGAATCCGTGTTTACTGAAGGCTTTATTTTACTGATGTAGAAAGATTCCTTATTTGTTCTTGTCTTCCAAGAGATTAGTTGAAAGGTGTGCATCACAAGGTGCATACAGTCCAGATGCTGTTACGTTTCTCCTAATTGGAAACATGTAGTAAAGGGTTAGTAGAACCATGTGATTGACTTTGCTATTTATCGCAATTCTCTTGCTACAATGAACTTTACTAATTTTCGTAAATCTTATAACAATCATGTTGGCCTTTAAGATGTAAAAACTAAAACTTTATTATTATGTTATATTGTAAGAACAATACTAACTTAACTATAATAAGTATGGTCTAGATAGGTCATACACCTTTGACCAGCAGTCTATGGAGATAGATCTAATCACGTTGGTGAGTGTCTGACATGTTTTTTATTTGAATTTGTATGAATGTTTTTATAAACTGATTTCATGTAAAGGATACATTTTCTTTTCATGTATAACATAACTTTTGTTGTGAGATCATGAAATTTAAAATTATAACACCATATTGAAAATATCTACAATGGTATTCATAGTACTTATCGTTCCAATGATAGAGTGATGTAACATTACAGTATTTAACACATTTCCTAATGAATCATCAATATCTATGTGAGAAGAATCTAGTTTTTACAGTTACACTCAGTATTCTGTGTTGTTATATATCAGACAAAGTATATTAGTTCTTGTTTTCGTTATGTTGGTTTTCAAGTTGAGGTCATTCACTGTCATATGACTAATGAAAAACAGTCATTAGGAAAGTCTAAGTGAATAGAAAGTATACACGAATTGTACACAAACTGAAATGTACCAGACTTGGTAATTCAGTATTTTATAATCCATACATATTTTAGTTTGTATTATTTTTTAATATCAAAGGTTAATGAGCTGTCAGCGAGGAATTTGCCCCTTAGAAAAATTTGAAAAACACAACACAGATTGTAAGATTCTTTACGTAAATACATAAACAATTGCACCATGAAGAAGTTTGACTATGTAGACATCTTGATAAGATACATTTATAAATAGCAGTAGTTTTAAACACAAAATATGTGAGTTCTTGGTCGAAAACAGAAAGTAGTAACTTAGAAACAAAAAATAACTTCCTAATGAACTATCAAATCTTAAGAATGTCAGGAATGTACATCTAGCTTTCCGTATCGTTATGTAAAGTGGAAGAATGGATAATTACTGACTGTATAGTAAACAAACAGATTATTTTGATTGTAAAGTATATTGGTAATGATAGACATTGTATAGTAAACGTGATGAAAGCATAAAATGTGAAAGAAAAGATATTTATTTTCTTGTAGACCATATTTTTTATCGTAAGAAATAAACATTTAAATATTTGCCAAGAACATTTTTTATTGTTTTCACAGTTATTTTATAGAAAGTTTCATTGATAGGTCCTGATAAATCTAAATCCGATACTCTTTGATTAAACGTAGATCTCAAAATATAACCATATACATTCATCATAATTTAAAGTCTTAGAAGAACGACGAGTCTGACTAAGACCACCGATTTTACATGCTTCATACTGTTCTTTCTTCAGTACTTGTAAAGTAAGGTACGCTTGTTCGGTGTATAGTTTAAAAAGAATTGAGTTAATCTGATTATTCGATTTGTTTTCATCATGGACTATAGTATTTAAATAAGTATCAAAATATGAAATCTGTGCACATATATCTTGATATTCTGCATTTGATAAAACAAAGAGAGCATTATCACATGTCATATCAATATCATGATATTCAAATCAATATGTAAACAAAATAGAGGGGATATTATTAACATACACAACATAAATTACGTAATTCCATATTTCTAGGAGAAAATGTTGTTCAGTTTTGATTTGTACAGATACAATAACTGTTGGGATCCACTATTTAAATTCATCCTGTTCTGTTAAATAAAACGTGGATATAGTTTTTCCCTTTTCCAAAGTCCTTGAACAGCCGAATATGAATATTCAACTTATTATTGAGTTGTTAAAATAATGTAATGGTCGATCCCAATAGGACTGGCATGAGGTGAATCAGATGTTTCTTCACGTTGTATAATATTAGAGGAACCTAGCTGTTATTTTTTCTTGACAACTGGATTTGTTCTTTTTTGCCATTTCATTAATGTCAGCCACATTTCTTTTCTTTCCAATAGACTAAAATATAATTGTTATTTATCAATACAATGAATATGACTGAAAACAAACATTATTATGTCAAAGAAACACAGAAAATAGATTTGTAATCAAAGAAATATCTGTTACTATATATATACTTACATTTAAAGGTTGGTTCATCATTCTTTCTTCCATATAGTAGAACTACATCAGTCTGATTATTAGTGGTGAAAGGAACAGGGTACTTATATTTGAAAAGTGACTCAGATTCGTCTGAACTTTGTTGTAGAGAGATATTCAAAGTTAAGATATGTCTGAATTTGTGATTGAACTTATTAACACTACCTGAAAAAAACTAACTTTGTTACTATTCGAGTACATACAAATATAATTCATTGTACTGTATAATACAATCATAAATCTCATACATTTCACATGTTTATAAAGTTGGTGAAATTTTCAAGTCTAAGTAGTTACCATAAATATTAAAAGTAACAAGTAGAATTGAATCAATCATAGTTACACTATCTCTCACTTTCAAAATTTTCTAAACTATATTTATCGACTGACACATTCTGACCTTCTGACCAATTGATGTATTTCAGGCACAGTTTAATCTTACTGAATAATGAGCATTAAATGCTTTTGTTGTATAGTGCCATAAACTCGGCAAAATAAAAGAACTGCACATTAAGTGTTTCGTCTATAAACTATATTAAAACTTTACATACTGAACTGAAATGAATAAGCACTAATACGGACATAATGTGCATACGTTTTATGAAAACTAATCCAGTATTTCATGAACTAAGATGTATTTAATTTTCGTAAGTAGTATATTAGTGTATCTAATTGTTGACGTTTTGTTTAATAAATGTTTCATTATGTGTGATACTTGTCATTTCTGTGATTTTACATTATTGTTGTAAAGTATATTCTGTAATGATAAACAGTAGTTCAGATCTTTTATTGTGCGAAACAACAAAACTGAGACATTTTGTCAAGAGCTTTTTTTATTGATAACAGTAACTATTTACATTACGATTTATTTGTTATTGGACTCCATGGAATACACAAGCTATTTTCGGTTATGTTCATTTGTGAAAAATATATGTAATGCTTTCATGAGCTAATATGATTAAATGCTCTAGAGTTTCTGATTTGTCGACAACTATTTAATAGATATGTTTGAAAGTGATATTATTTTAGTCTCATAACATATTACAAAGTAGAAATAATATATTTTGACAAAAAGGCATATGTCTGTGGGTACAAATTTTCTAATTCCAAACTTTTCAGTGTTATTGACCTTTTATTCTGCTAGTTCTAAAAGGGGACTAGCTAGTTGGCTACGTGTCAGCAATAGTATTGAAAGAGTGATACATCTATATTAAGCATTCGTTTTTCGAAATGGTAAGATCACTATTTATCAAGGCTATATACATACAGTTTCAAACCAGCAAGACACATTCTCTTGACAAAGATTTGTGAAATTATCTATAAAAAGGTAAGCATCCTTTTCAGGATATTATACAATATATTAATTATAGAAATGAAATTAACAATAAGTGTTTTACATGTAAAACATCAGGACATTCAAAAAGTACATCATGCAAATAAAAAAAAAGAAAACTATAATCAGGATGTTAAATATGTACTAAATAGATACTTTAAAACATAATTGGCTTTACTAACTGTCTCATTCAATATTTATAAAATCAATACATTATGTATGGTGAAATCCTTTTAGTACACATAATTGTAAATATATGTAAAGGAAGTTATTGACTATGCTATAGTACTTGCCTCGTTCAAGTAATGAATAAATTAAGATAGTATGTGTGATAAAAATTAAGATATGTAACAGTGTCATAATAGTTGTCTCATCAAAATAATGGTTTTACTTGTATCTTTAGGACATATAATTAAACTTAAACTACAATGTTGAAAATGTAATCACATGAGACACATTGAGCTCATCATCTGTTTATAGAAAGACCCTCAGCCCTAGCAGCACTAATCTTAGTAACACAATTTGCCAAGTAACACCATCCGCCTTTGTAAACTACATGTAATTCTGTTACATATATAGATGAAAACTAGAAATATAAGTTGAGACAAAATGAAATCTGTATGCAATCCTACCAAAGTATATTAACGTTGTCTGCCTACAGAAACACCATCCGCCGATTAAGCCTTAGTAACATCATCGCCTATACTAACACCATCTGCTTTTGTAAAATATATGTAATACAATTAAATATACAGATAAAAACTGTAAACATAATTTGAATTGTTTTGTTTGTTTGTTTTGAATTTCGCGCAAAGCTACACGAGGGCAAACATAAGTTGTAAGCTATATGCAGCCATACGGGATTATCTGCCAATAAAAATGCAGTCTACTGACACACACAATACACCTAATAAGACCATCCATCTGTAGAACCTTAGTAACACCGTTCGCCTACAAAACCTTGGTAACATCATCTCAAATTTAATGTTCTACTTACAAAGCAAAACTGTAATTGTTATAAGAACTTTTCAGTACTGACAATTGTAAACACAATATTATGTAAATTGGATAAATTATAAATTTTAAGACTTTGATTGTTACTATAAAGTTGATGACATGTTGAGACGCTTTGATCTACATCACTCTCCAGTGGTTTGCTTTCAAACTATCTGCGTGCTAATCATACCAATGTGCCCTCTGAATCTGCTTCGTGGAATCATTATATTAATTATCATCTTTTTCCTTAGACAGTCGTGCTTTTTTGGTGTCTATTACGTAACAATAATGTAACCATCAGGTGTCGGCATATTACATAACAGTTATGTAGCCCTTAGGCGGCATAAGTGCGGGCGTAACTACGGTGGTGTTGGGTCGACATATGACCTACAATTATCTTACTTACTCCAAAAAGTTGGTGATGTATCTCCTACTACAAGGAGACCAGTCCCATGGGTAGCTTTTCTCGTCTAACATCCTAGCCATAACTTTTAAAGTTTGACCCTGGTCTTTGTGTCTCCTGCACTTGAAATCATCGTCGTGAGGAATTCCCAGTCTGGAAAATAATTTAGATAATTTATTAAAGAAGATTTACACCACCCACCCAAATATATAAATATTCGGTTCAAGAACGTTTGAATTTTGTAATTTCTATAACACGTATAAATTTAGTCTTCCCAGACGTTAACTAATCACAATTTTCATAGCTACTGGAAGAAAAAATGTATTAATTTTTACACTAAATTCCTTATTATGTAAATACTGCTTCACGGAATTACGTTATCATTAGATGTCCTTATAAGAAACATACGGAAACAAATAAATTAGCGAGTTAAAAGTAGGCCTGACATGAATTGGAAACGCGATATGAAACACTAAAATAATTTAACACTACACGCGGTATGTATCCCATGTGCATTGATAAACAGCAAATTGAACTAATATTACAATTATAACTTTCTCATCGTATCAAATGATAGTTTTACGTAGCTTACAATAACGACATCTAGAAAGGACCTTATGAAAGAATTGTACCATAAATGCAAATAAACAAAAATTATATTTCGACTCATTATCGACTTGACTCATTTAATATGGGGTCTACTTTATGCTAGGTCTGTTAGGGCGGTGTTTTGTTGTGCTTCTTTCCTGCAAAAGATGAGACTTGTTTGTTCAACAACTTGTAAAAATTTCAATACAGTAATTTATTGCCATTGGTATTAATCTCAAAGGTGACAATGAGAAGAAGACTTTGATCTAGGTTTCGAGATGTAAAAGTTAATCTTTAATTGATTAATGCACTACGTATATTTCATCAAAATTCGAGAACAAACGTTTGTGGGTTCACTTCCGACTGTTGTGAAATTGATATTTTGAAAAACAAATGCGTATATAATCCGGTAAGTGACAACGGCAAAATTACAATAATTTAATTTCAATCAGAATGGTGTTACGGCAGAGAAGTAGCGAAACGTGCACTTTAAGTCTTTAACACTAGTAACGTGCTTTGCATTTGCATTTTGTCTAATCGGAGATAACATCCTTCTTAGGACACTGCTCTAAAAATAAGAGGTTGTCCCAGAAACTCTGTGTCATCTGGTCACTTTAACATACATTTATGAATAACAACTAATTAAGGTACATGACGTAACCCGTTTGTGTTAGGGAATTATTTTACATTTATTCAAACACAGTACTAGATAAAGTGAGGATTGATAAGTCGTTTTAATAGCTTCAGAAATCAACAATAAAGAAAAACTTCAAGAATTATATACTTACACGTGTCCCAGCTCGTGAGCTATTGTAAATGCGGCACTAAGGCCATTGTCTTCAACTATTGCACAACTGCTGTAGCGAGAACATACCATTCCTGGGTTGGCCAGACCTAAAAAGTAAAAACAAGAAAATAAAACACATTCGGGCGTTTTTGATTATGCGTTTTTGGGATATTTTCTGTGTAAATGAATAAATTACACAGCATTACACAATGTCAGAAGTCATGGAAGTAACAATTTGTTCATCGCTAATTGTCACAGGAAGGCACTCCTCAGATGACATAACATGACCCGGAAACAAGAATTATATGCTTAGCCAAAACAATATAAAAATAATGTAGTGTTATTTATTTCTACAAAACTTTAAGTCATCTGTAATATAAAACAGTACTGTTGAAGTTCAATAACGATTGCTATATACATTTTAAATATAACTAACTATGTAGTTGTCTGAGATACAGTCCATCGTTCCTAATACACAGAGTGTTCAAAATCATTTAAACTATTAATTAATTTGATATATCATAGTATAATAATTACTAAATAACAACAGGAATCTTTAGAACACAATAACTACATCACTACTTCTAAAATACACTGTTGTCTAGAGCACAATACCCATGCCACAAAGTTATAATGCACCAAGTGTTTAAGGACACATTCCGAACCACAATACGTTGAAAACACTATGTTTTAGGACATAATATTCACAATTTAGGACGCACAACCAACATTACAACAAGTGATAAAAGCGATGCCAATTAATATATTTATCACTCTAGGTTGAAAGTTTAAAATATGAACTTCTGCCCAACAAGGATTTTTTCTTTCAAAATAACTAAGATGTTATTTCTACGCAATCACTCTCAATGTTCCCTTCTTTGTGAAGAAGTCGACGAATCTCTTTATTAATGGTTTTAACACTTTAAACGAAATGGACGCTGTCAGCGATTTACTCGTCGGACGGTAACAGTGCTGCTAACATTTATACCTCTTTGGCTGAAGATTAATCCAAACCATGTTATTATCCATCTTTTATAAATAAACCACAAGTTTCATGAAGTATTGTTGTTTGTTTTGAAACAAATTTCAGATTAACAAGTTGTTTTTGAAACCACTTTTTCAGCGTTCTCTTATGAAGTCTAATAATTGTTCACATCAATTTTCTAAATAAAGATGGTGAGTGGAAAGATGCCACTGAAAGTTTTACTGCTGAGCAAGTAATGAATCTGTTCAATCAGTTAGATGAAGGAGGAAGTGATGACGATAGTGATTCTGATATTAAAGTTGATTTTGGAAGAGACTTTAGTGATGAAAGCGACTTAGAACAGTCATCGAGACCCGGTTACAGTGCTTCTCAATCCATCAGCTGATTAGAGGGGGCTTAACCCCAACCAGGACACAGAGGCCATGAAATCAAGCCCCAGTTATTACCTGATTCACCTCCTATATCAACATCCACTACTAGAGCCAGAGATAATGATTGAGCTGAAATAGATCTGCAAGATAGGTCAACCACAAGTAATGACTTTGAGTTTTTGCCGAAGAACAGCAGTGAACCTGCTATACACGCTGACATCAATAAGAATTTAACACCCCTGACTGTTTCAGAGCTCTGTTTACAGAAGATGAAAGTAACGTTCTCATCACTGCTATCAACGAGTACGCCAAAGCACAAAACAACGCCTGCTCAGAGACGTTCTAGGTATTTGAACTGGCTCCTTTTACTCACTATGAGCTGCTGAAGTTTCTTGCAATGACAACAACAATGGACATCGACAAACGACCTAGTATTCGAGACTACTTTGCCACCCAACAGTTTCTCTACACACCCTTCTATCACCAAATGTTTAACAGGGAGAGGTTTGAGGCTACTTACTCAACAATGCTCCGTGTGGGTACCCCTAATGCTAAAGGGAAAAACAAAATTTAAAATTGAAGTTTTATATGGTATGGTGATAATTATTAGGAAATCATGAAAATAATTCTGGCAGAACACACACAAAATTATAGGTTTAAAAAGTTAAGGTGTGTATTGTTACTCGTTGCCATTTTACAGGACATGTCAGTTTTAACTTTCCTACAGATGCATGGGACAATGATCAGCTCACACTGATGTGAATTCAAGTATTGCAAGTAGCTAAGCTTATTCTTACGGCGTAATATAACCTTATCAATACGACATATTTCAGTTACAAGTCTAAATACGGGGTGGTTACAATGTCAGCATGAATATTTGGAAGAGTCTTAAGGCGACCTGTTTAACATAAGGACAAAATATTTTGCGTGTATGCATAAAGAAGGTTCATTCCACTAGTTTCTCAATATATGCAAATTAAATAAAGGTTGGATTTATTTTGTTTGTTTGTTTCGGATATTCACGTAAAGCTACACGTGAGTTATCTGCACTAGCCGTCCCTAATCTTGGAATGATAAACTAGACTTACTAGAGAAAACAGATAGTCAACAGCACCTACCGCCAAATCTTGGGGTACTCTAATCGAATAGCAGGACTTGACCACCACCCATATAATGCACCCACTGCCCGAAAGTTCGGAGTGTAATTTTGCAGAAACAGGACGTGGATCATCTGATTCACAGTTCAACACACTAACCGTTATGCCACGCCTGATCCATACAGGCTGGAACAGATAATTGTTATCTCGTCGCTATTAAAATAAGACACAAGTTTTTGCTAGTGATTATACAAAGCTGTTGAATGATTCTTTAGCACTTACCGAGAGTGTCACAGGCTTTGGAGACTCGACACAAATCTTTCCTGAGAAAAAATGAAATTTAAGTAAATTTAACAAAAGAAACTCGTCAAGGATTTAGATAACAGAAAGCAAACTATATTCACTTGTTTTCAAAATATTAAAATGTTGGACATAATAAAATATGCATTTAGATTTAGTAAAATCTACTAAAGATAATGTTCCTTACAGATTCTTTACGACTTTAGAAGTATTATTCCGAGACTGAAAACTAATAGTATTATATATTATAAATATTAAGATCAAGATCTAATAATACTACAAATTTCTGAGATTTGCAAAAGTACTGTACTATCAGGTTTGCTAATTAGTAAGGTGCTGCTATGAGTGAAAAACCACAATAAACGGAACAAACTGTCAGAAGTCTGGTATTAGAGAAACTAGTTTCGACACATTTGTGCGTCCTCTTCAGTCTCATGTTGTCTTCTGGCAGGAAAAAACTGGTCAACAAATGCCTACTTGACCACTGAACTTGGAATCCATTAAGGACATAAGAGGTCAGGAAGTTGTTAAGTTTAAAGTGATCTTGGGAGGTGTTGAAATTAGGCAGGCTTTTGATTAAGCAACTTTCAACAATTATTCATTTTATGTAGTTATCCGTTTTGTATAAAATTCTTGTCGATTTCCGATCAATTTGATGGTCAGAATCTCTCATATCAAGAAAAATGGCATTGTTTTGGTTTCAATCGTTTATGTTCAGAAACTCTCGTGTCAACACTTTTTCCGGTTTGACCTACAAAACGGATAACTACATAAAATGAATAATTGTTGAAAGTTGCTTAATCAAAAGC